AAAAAGGAATGGCGGGTAATCTATGCACATGAAAGGTTATAGTACATTCATATCAGCAATACCCAATTACTGGGGTTCCCGCGCGTGGGCATTAGGCTTGAGAACAAACGGCTAACAAAGCAAAACAGGTAAGAGCTTCCCACGACTCATCCTGGTTAAAGCCAAAGCAATTCCTCCAGCAACTCCTCCAGAGTGGCAATTAAGCGAAAGGGAAGGAATGCGCATGAAATGAAAACATAAGAAACCTTTGGCAGCTTGCTGACATGCTATCATATCTGATTTGGGTCATAGGTTTCTAAAAAAAACCCTCAGCAAACTGGAAAATCATCTAAATGCTTCCCATTTAGAGAAGAAAATGGTAAAGTGGAGATCTAAGCATCTGGAGTCCTGAGAACCTATGGCTTTTGTTATACTGACATCTAGTGGACTCACAAACCACACAAAAATGTTTCAGATCAGTTCTTTGACATGAAACTTGCAAAGTGTGTAGTGAAATACAGAATTACCACTTTAAAGATGAAAATGTTTTCAGGGAGACATATTTCTTTGTGGAGAAAACAGAAATGAAAGAGATGGGAAAACCAAGCTCTTAGGATCATTCATTCTGAATTGCTAAACAGCTGCTGGTTTTCCACCATCATTAGAAGTCCTTCTAGTAGCAAGCCTTATGGTTCTGTGCCTAACATCAGGGCAGCAAAATGGGGTAACCCACAGACAAAACAGAGCTTTATGTGTACTTGGGCAACACCCCAAGAATGCAGAAAAGTAGGACTGACTATAGATTAACTCAGCTTTCCATCTGGAATCATCTAGCTTAAAAATCAGTAGTTCTGTGCAGGTTTTTTTGAGGGGGTCCTAAACTTTTAACCTTCCCCCCCTGTGATTCCTCAATGGTCCCAAACTATAAATCTTATTTCCATCTATCACTCACACAGTAAATTGAAAATCCATGGGTTGCAGTCCAGTCACAATTCCATTGTTTTCAATATGAGAATTTGGTTAATTCAGATGCTTAACATTGAGATCGATGGGACCTAAACATGCTCAGTTATGGCTTAGTTGCAGGTATATTTTTCAAACACTGGCATTAGACATAGATATTAAAATTTATTCAGATAATATTAAAATTCATAATATCTAAATGCGACCCAAGGGGGCAATATATATTTGTAAAAAGTCTCACTGACAAACATATGACCACCTTGGTCTCCCTATATGCCCCAAATGAAAACCAATTTTCTTTCTTACAAGAAACTCTCACAGTTCTAAGTCACTTCCAAGAAGGTGAATTACTCATAGGGAGTGATCTTAACCAAGTTGTAAATCCTGCATTGGACTGCTCTTCTAACCTCTCCCTGACAACCTCACCTCCCTCCCGCAACACACACTTGGCATCAATACTAGAGGACTTCCAACTAATTGATGTATGGCGCCACTTCCATCCGACAAAAATAAATTTTACATACTTCACACCACGTCATCATACTTACTTCAGGATTGACTTTGTTCTTGCATCTAAAATATTAACAGAATCTCGGAGGCTAACATCGGTAACATCACCTGGTCTGACCATACATGGGTATCCTGCTCTCTATGCCGAGGCCTCGATGAAACCTCACACAGAACATGGTACTTAAACAAAGCTCTTCTTTACTCAGAACAACATTCGACAGAGGTGGAAGCGCTTATCAAATAATACCTTCAAAACAATTCTACAGCAGACATCTCCTGGCTTACTCTCTGGGATGCTCTGAAGGCTGTTCTCAGAGGCCAACTCATCTCAATGCCATCACTCCTGGAAAACCAAAAAAAAAAATCTGATATAATGAGTAGCTTATCATGTCTCCATAAATAGATGGCCCAACCTGCAAATGTACTCTGGAGTCTCTGCTGTCTTTTGGTTTCTGTTGATTGTAGCCTCATACATGGCATGGCATTATAAGAGCTGAACGCAGTAAGCTTGCAAGAGTCGAAGGGCTGTTCTCCTCCTCCTTGTTGAAAAGAAGTCCTTAAGATTTGAACCCTCCACAACAGAAACTGATCTTGTCCCATTAACGTCCCATGAATTCAGTCCCTGTCCTAGACCTGTCACATTAGAAAATCCCTTGCATATGTCCAGTCAAAACACAAGACCAGAGAAAAATAAGAATAATTCAGTCTGATGTACTGACTCCCAGTTTTGAAACAGGGAATCTCAGACAAAGAAAAGATGGAAGGGAGACTGAGCACTTAACCAGCAGGTTACATTATTGCCTTAACAAGATATACACTAGAAGGGAAGGATCAGTATCAGAAAATGACACAGTAAGTGGTAGCATCATGGAGGCCAATTTTGCCATACCTAATATTGTCTCCTTTCAATTTAAATACCCAATTAAAGTTACCGTTTACTCAACTAGTCCAGAGCAACCCAGAGGGAGATAGGTTAAGTGTTGCCCAATACTGGAACCAGATGAGGTGGGACAAATGGGAATGGAGCTTTGAATAAGATGGACAGAGGGGAGTCCCTAACACAGAAATAATAGGGAAGGGATGACAGTAGTAAGGCATGCCAGTCCCTAATGGAAACAGGAAAAGCTAGGAGAGAGTATATAGGGAAAAAGACATAAAACATTGTTAAAAGCAAAATGAAAGAGAATAAATCCTACTGGCTGTCCAGGTCAGTGTTCCATCTAAGCTGTGTTAGTGTGAGCCAACTCACAGTTTTTTAGCCTCTGGCTCACACGTTTTTGTCTTAGCTCAGGAAGGATGGCTCCAGAGCAAACAAATTCATGCAGCAGCCAAATCTCTTGCTCACAACTTTAATGCCAGTTGCTCAAAGAGTAGAATTTTTGCTCACAAGACTCCAAGCTTAGACAGAGCATTGATCCAGGTGTGTAGAATTTGTGGTTACTGGATGTTGGTTGTGGATGGGAATTACCTACAAATAATTAAAGGTTCAAGAAACCCTTCTTATGCACCTAAATGTGCATTGGTGCCTATGGAGAAGATTTGCTATTGGCCAATTTTGGTGTAGAACTAGGATCTGCTCTGGCATTGGACAAGGACTTTGGAGCCTGGTGGCTTTGGGATGCATTCTGATCGATTTGATTTTGGATCAGGGACTCTATTAATGCAAATGTATTATCTGGGCTATGATAATGTAACCAACCTATGGAAAAGGAGACACTAGAATATATATGGAAGATACCTTTCCTCTTGGTTTAAGGTGGCTTATGCGGTATGTATTCTGTTTGGATTGGGGTAGGCAGAGTTTGGATTTGTCTGGGAGCATGCATGTGTGTGTTTATATGTGGGGGTGGGCTTACAGTAGTATTCTTATCATGAGCATACCAAGTGACAGTCAGGATCCTGGCAGCTTCCAGTTCCTATGAGGATGGAGGACCAGTTTGGGGGGCTCACTCCTAGCAGCCAAAGGATTGTAGAGATTTTGGGGGATTTTGAATTGCGGTTTGATGCTCATTCTAGAAACCATACTTGAACTTTGGAACAGACTTAAACTGGGTAGTTGATATAATAACTCTGTCTCCTACTTTCAAGAGCTTCTGCTGCCCCTGCTATAACAAGGAGCTGCAGGCAGTGAAGCTGCAGAGATAATGACTGGAATGTAGACAGAGGAAGCTTACACTTGGGAAGAATCTAATCAAGCATCAGCTTGAAGCCAGATTTAAACACTACTCGGTTGCAGTTGCTGATACAAAAGATTCATACTTTACCAATGCTGTTATCTGGCAGATCTTTATCTGGGTACTTAGTGGTCTTTCACAATCAGAATGTGGTAGAGAGGAAGTCTGTTTGGCTGCCTGCTGTGGCATGTTTGGAAAAACCTTTATTTGCCCCTGCTTTGAATTCCAAATTAGATGGTTCAACTGATCCAGAATGCTGCAGTCAGGATCAGGGCCGGCCCGAGGTTGTCCTGCGCTCTAGGCGACCGCAGATGCCAACCTCCCGGCGGGGCCTGGAGATGCACTCTGGGCGTCCTTTCCAAGTGGCAGGCGGTGTGTGTGTGTGGTGGTCTGGGTCTGCGCGTCCCCGGCACGCCCCTCCTCCTCCTGTCTTTCTCAGGGTGTGTGTGTGTGTGGGAGCTGTTCGGACCCGATTCGGGTGGCCTCACTTGCCAGAGGTCGGAGGCTTCACTGGCGAAGGGCTCGCTGGTCTGGGCTGCGGGTCCGTCGGGGACCTCCGGTGAGAGGCGGCCCAGGTTCACCGGGGCTCTGCTGCCCTTCTCTCTCCGCTGGCCGTGGCTGCAGGCAGGCGGCCTCCGAGGTCAGGTTTGGCAGAGAGGAGCGGCGCGGAGACGCCCGCAGCTCCTGCCGAGCGGCCCGGCAGGGCTCTTGGGGCTCCGGAGGGCGCTCTTGTCGGATGGCGCTCTTCTCGGACGGCGGCCCTGCCGCCGCCGGGCATGTTGACACGGCAGTCACTGTCCCCAGGAGCACTGGCGGCAGACTGACCAGGGCGAAGGCGATCCGGGAGCAGAACCGGCGCCCTGGCTCTCGAGGCCACACTGCCTTGCACACGTGGAAGGCTGCTGAGGCGGAGCCAAGGCATGGGCGGTCCTGCAAGCGAGCAGCTCTGCGGGGCCCCGGGAGCACGTCGGAGCTGAGCTCGCATCCGCAGGCATCCACGGGGGGGGGGACAGGACGCTCAGGCGCCACCCCTCCGCCTCTCTCCCCTTCCGAGGGTCTCAGTTGTGCGAACTCGGGGGCGCCAGTGGGAACTGCTTTCTTGGCCTCTCCTGCCCCTCCCGCTCACCCGACAGCCAGCCCGACAGCCAGACAGAGGCCGAGAAAGTAGGCGGGGGGGAGGAAAGCGCGGCTGGGCCGGAGAAGGGGTCCCGCCCGACGGCCCGCAAGCGGCCACTCCCCCCGCCCCCAGGAGAGGCCGAGAAAGAAGGCGGGCGGGAGGAGGAAAGGGCCGTGCCCACGCTGCCGCCGCACGTCCTACTGCAGCCAGGCGGCAGAGCTTCTCCCAGCCCCGCTCCTCCCAGCTGCTGGCCAGGCGTCGGCGGCTGCACCTGCCTCTCCTCTTCCGCCCCAATGGCCGGCTCGTGCTCTAGGCGAAAGCCTAGTTCGCCTAGCGGGCGAGCCGGCCCTGGTCAGGATGATAACTAGGGATGAGCACAAACTGGAGAAATTGAGGTTTGTGGTTCCAGGGGTCTCACAAACCATGAACCGGGACAAATGTCTGCCACTTCATGAACTGGTTCGAGGTTTGTGGTTCGTGATGCAGTGCGCTTGCAAAACCCATTTAAAGGCCGCCACCACCACCACCACCATGCGACTCACAAGTGAACTGAGAAAGGATTTGAAACCTGATTTCTGGACAGAGACTGCAAAGGAGCCGATCCTGCGGGGAGAACTCTCCATAAGGCCAGCAAAAAGGGGGGAGGATTTGGAATCTTCCCTCTCTCCTTTCTGTTGGCTCCAGCTACCAAGACCAGCAGAAAGGGGGGAAAGCTCTGGGATCTCCCCTCACTCCTTTTTCCTGGCCGTCGCTCCTGAGGCCAGCAGAATGGAAGGGGGTATCTGGGATCTTCCCTCCCTCCTTTTTCCTGGCCGTGGCTCCTGAGGCCAGCAGAATGGGGGGGGGGAGATCTGGGATCTTCCCTCACTCCTTTTTGCTGGCTGCGGCTCCTGGAGGCCAGCAGAATGGAAGGGGGGAGATATGAGATCTTCCCTCCCTTTCTGCTGGTGGGCTACTCAAGAGAGCCCCAGCTGAACATGGGACTACAGGAACTGACAGCTGAGAGATCACAGAATCTGCATGTTGGGGGGAGGTCTCTCCCCCCAACATGCAGATCTGGCTTGAGGAACCCACCAGCTAAGGCTGCATGGAGCTATCAGCTCTCGCCACCCCATGTGATCCTGGGCTGGCTCCTCTTTGCAGACCTCCAAGCCAGGTCTGCGTGTGGCAGGGAGAGACCTCCCCCCGCACACAGATCCCAGGGGCCATTTTAAATCCCTTCTCAGTTGACTGGCTGAGTTGTGCCGTGGCGGCAGCATGACTCACAAGTGAACTGAGAAGGGATTTAAATGATCTCCCCGTTCACTCGCTGAGTCGTGCCTTCGCAGTGGTGCAACTTGGCGAGTCAACTGAGAAGGCTTTATATCCCTTCTCAGTTCATTTGTGAATTGTACCATGGTGGTGGTGCGGCTTGGAGAAGGCATTTAAGAGACCACAGTCTCTTTAAGTGACTTCTCCAAGCCCCAACACCAGCACCACTGTGTCTGTGTACACGAACCACACAACACCCCCCCCAGGAGATTCGTGGGGCTCGTGAAGGCACGATGGGCACCAACCAAGATTTGTGAAGCACGGACCGGTCTGGGTTTGTGACGAACTTCACTTTGTGCCGATCACTAATGTTAACTGGTTTGTCATATTTTCTCAACACTATTGCGAATTTATTAATTCCCAGTTTCTTTCTGGACATGGTTTGACATGTTGGAATTGACCTTGGACCAGAGTATTTGAAGGACTGCCTGTACCCATATGAACTTACCTGTAGCTTGAGATCTTTGGAAGTAAGGCATTTGCATAGGAACGGCCAAACTGCAGCTCAGGAACTGCATGTGGCTCTTTCACACATATAGTGTGGCTCCAAGCAGCGTGGCTGGGGAAGCGAAGGGGAGGCACACCTCTCCAACTGGTCTTCCCTTTCCGAACCTGTGTTCCCCTCCCCTGGGTAGGCTTGAGGCGGGGAGGAGCTGAGAAAGAAAGCAAGTTTAAGTGTATTCTCAAAGCATCCCTACTCGGGTGGCTTGGAGAAGGCATTTGTCTCTTTAAATCCCCTCTCCAAACCAAGCCAGCTAGTGTGGGGGGCCTTGGAGGACACATTTAGTTAAAGTTGTTTTCTTTCCACCTCTCCCTCCCCCCATCTATTTGCTTTCTTTCCACTTTCTACTTTTTTTTCTTTCTCGTTCTCTTTCTTGCCTCCCTCCCCATCTAAAGTTAAATGTGTTCTCCAAGCTCTGCCACATTGGCTAGCTGGCTTGGCTCAGAGAAGATATTTGTCTCTTTAAATCCCTTCTCAGTCAAGCCAGCTTGGGGGCAGGGGGCTGTGTCTGCGTACACATTTAAATGTGTTCTCCAAGTTAAATGTGTTCTCCAAGCTGCAGCCCCACCAGCTGACTTGGATAAGGCATTTATTTCTTTAAATCCCTTCGCCAAGCCGGCTGGTGTGGGGGTGTGGGGTTTGGAGAACACATTTAAAGTTAGAGTTCCTGTCTTTTCATCTCTCCTTCCCTCCCCATTTATTTGCTTTCTTTCTGCCCCTTCTCTCTATCTCTGTCTTTCTTCCTTTCCTTTCCCCTTCCTTCCTCCCCCCATCTATTTGCTTTCTTTCCACCTCTTTCTTTTCACCTTTCCTGCATCACGAACCACAAACCTCTCTTTCTCCCTTCCTTCCCCTCCCTCATCTATTTGCTTTCTGTTTCTCTCCTTTCTTTCCACCTCTTTCATTCTTTATAGCTTTCTCTTTCTCTCTTCCTTCCATCCTTCCTTCCCCCTCCCTCCCCATCTATTTGCTTTCTTTGTTTCTTTCATTCTTTCTATCTCGCTTCCTCCCTCCCTCCCTCCATTCATTTGCTTCCTTTGTTTCTCTCTCTCTATTTCTCTTTCCCCTCCCCCCATTTATTTGCTTTCTTTCCACCTTTCTCTTTTCTCTTTCTCCTTTCCTTCCTCTCTCTCTTCCTTCCTTCCCCTCCCCATCTATTTGCTTTCTTTGTTTCTCTCTCTCCACCTCTTTCATTCTTTCTTTCCACCACCCCCTCCCACTTTCTCTCTCTCTTACACAAATATATATCATTAGCAAACAAATATCATTGGACAAATAAATATTATCAATATTTACTCCCAGCATACTATTTGCCTTTTTTATTGTTGTCATACACTGAGTCAACATTTTCAGTAACTTATCTACCATGACTCCAAGATCTCTCTCCTGGTCAGTCTCTGCCCGTTCGGATCCCATCAACATGTATTTATAGTTAGGATTTTTTGCTCCAATGAGCATTACTTTGCACTTGCCCATGTTGAACCTTCCTGAATTTTATCTAAGTATCTGTTTTAAACTTAGTGAGCTGTCAAACAAAACTCTTTTATACAGACTATTCCGAAAGTTATCTGATTCACGCAGTAGACCTTGTTGGTTGATTTCCTATAGCAACTCCTTTTTAATTGTAATTCTTAGATGTCTTATATCTTTGTATTCGGCATATTTAATTTTAAAATTCTGTCCCTTCCAAATTGCCAAATCTAGCTGCAATTTTTTAATTTCTTTGTTCTTGTTCCCAAAAAGGAGCCTCACTCTGTGTCTGACTAACTTCTTCTTTTTCTCTGCATGTGGTTTTTTTAACATTCTCTTTTATCCTTTCTGATTTCTCTCCTTGTTTCTTACTGACTTGGTTTTGTCTGAAATCCCCCCTCACAATTATAGAGAAAAGTAAGTAAAGTGTATGAAATGCAACTAGTACAGTCTGTGACAGGAGCTGCGGTGGCTCAAGTGGCTAAGACCCTGAACTGCAGGCTGTGGAAGGTCGGTAGTTCAGCAGTTCGAGACCCGGGTTGCTGTATGACGGAGTGAGCTCCCGTCTCTA